TCCCAAATCGAGCCTTTAACGAGTCTCCTGAATAGTTTACGAGTAGTTTGATTTGTTTGCATGTTGCTACACCAACCCTTCAAGACTTGATTTATCTTGTATAGTACATCAAAAATATCAGTTATACTAATTTATCTATGTTAACATGATAAGGAGATAACTTTCCTTTACAATTTACATTACGCTTAAAACATGATGAGTATATATTTATGAGTTCTTTCAACATTTTTAAACTGACAATTCATACATTAATTGGCACTTTATCTGTTTACTTCCGTTCACGCAAACATTTACATACCGACAACTATTAAATATCAATCGTAAATGACCGTCTAATTTTATATGATTTTGTTAATTAAATGAACAACGATAATATGGTAATTAAGTGACATAAATAATTTCTTTCTATTCCTTTTATAGGAGTTCAAATAAAAGTATATATATATATATATATATATATATATATATATATATATATATATATATATATATATATATATAATATATATATATATATATATATATATATAAAAAGAAAAATCCTATCATGTATTTCCTATAAAATTTTGTAATAAAAATCTTCATGATCAAAATTAAGATCAAATATAGTGAAAAGTTAAAAAGGTCGATTTTCATACTCAAAACCGCCACTCTTGGCTTGTCGATTTTCTTGGTGGGGGCAAAGACCAAATACCGGAGGAACAATCGCATAGCCGACGGTGGAGCTGCCACTAAGATCCCGAAGACGGTCGGTGCACTAGTGTGGTGTTAGCGGCGATGGTGATTCGGTAGAGAGGATATAGAAGGTATAATTTTTGGTTCGATGATAACCCAGATGCAATCGATTTCCCCAATCGGCAGTCGTATGCAGTTCACTTCGTCGGAGCAGCTGTCTGCGAGGTTTAGGGCACGAAATCCATCTTCTTTTGTTGTCGGTTATTTAATAAGCAGGCGGTAGAAGCGGTTGAGATGTAACATCTTGATTTCCAGGTATTCCATTTATGCCCTTGGTATAAGAATTGATTGCAAATTGGTCGCAAATGAGACTTAAATGAAAATTCGGACTTAATCAGGTACGTTGGGCGTACATGATGGTACGCTAGGCGTACGTGGTCAGGGGTCAAACCCTAATTTTTAGGGTTTGGACCCCATTTAAATATCCTTAACTCCCAATACCCTCTTCATTCATCAACCTCCAACCTTATCTTCGACCCTTACAAACCCTAATCCATTTTGAGAGCATTTTTGAGCCATTAGTGTGTGTTTTGATGATCTTGAAGGAGGAAGAAAGAAGAGGAGACCATATTAGAAGAGTAGAGCACTTTGGATCCATAATCACATCATCATTTGACACCATTTGGAGGTAAAAAGCTTTGATCTTGATGAAGTATTGCTTAGATCTTGTTTAGCCATGGATTTGTGTTATTTTGGTTCCATAAGCTTGGTATTATGAGTATGGGTTACTCTAATTCATATGAGCTGTCCTTTCAGACGTTTTGGAGTATTTAGAAGCATAAAAATGTAATCTTGGTCATTAGTTTCCTTCCATGCATGAACAGGGTGTCTTAATGAGTTAAGAAGTTAGGGTTTTTGGTATTGAGCACTTAATAGCCATTCAAGACCATAAAGTTGGAAACATATGGTTAAGGACATTATTTGAGGACTAGATCTGGATTTTGGACGAATGAGCGTAAGGAATTAAGCTCTTAATAGAAGTGAAAGGAGGCAGTGTGTATACTGGTCGTACCCTAGGCACGTTGTGTGTACGAGGTCAACGATCCCGTTTCTGGTCAAGACTCAAGTACGCTAAGCCTACAAGATGAGTATGTTGGGTGTAGTCAGCTGAGTTAACTCGGTTGACTTTTTGACTTTAACCAGGATTTGACCAAGTTTGACCTAAGTGTATTTTGGGGCTTTTGAGTTGTAGTTAGGATTTGTCACTATCTGATGTATAGGTGACTGGTAGAGCTGATATTCAGAGAAGTGACCTATCCAACTATTTGTTCAGACCGAGAGGTGAGTTTTTCCTCACTGTACTTGTGGGTCGAAGGCACCAATGTTGGACCACTAGATTATGTATCATGGTATAGAGGATGTTGTTATGTTGTAGTGATCTGTTAGATTTGTGTCCTAATATATGGGATGTTGCTATGCGGTAGTGATTTGTAGGTCTGTCTGTTTGTCTGTTGACTGGTCATATAATTATCTGTTGTTGGATATATGTTATTTGTTATGTATATGTCGACATGGAATGGTGGGGTTAAGATTGTACTGCTTTGTGCTGTCAGTCAACAAACCCGAGACAATCCAACCGGAAGATTGTGGGCCGGGGCATTCCAACCGGAAGGTTGTGGGCCAGGGGTAATCTAACCAGGAGGTTGTGGACCCAACATGTATTAGGCAATCCAACCGAAAGGTTGTGGTCCGAGGCATGCCAACTGAAAGGTTGTGGATCGGGGCATTCCAACCGGAAGGTTGTGGGCTAGGGGTAATCCAACCAGGAGGTCGTGGACCCAATATTTGTTTGGTTATATGTTTGTGTGGTGGTACTTTGGGGGAACTCACTAAGCTTTGTCTTATAGTTTCAGTTTACTATTTCAGGTACTTCTGATGATCGTGACAAGGCGAAGACGTGATCGTGCACATCCTTCAGATTTTATGTTATTTGGATTTTTGGGATACTCTGATTATTGATTATCACTTTTAAAATAATGTTTTGTAAACAATTATGGTCATTGGGTTGTTTTTGAAAAATAAAAGTTTTACTCTGATTTTTGGATGTTTCATGAGAGATCGATCGGTTATAGGTGGAGAGATTGATCTGGAAAGCATGAGAAAGAGGAGAACAACAGATATGATCGGTGGAAGAAATTTGATTGGAGAAGGAGGCTAAGAACAACAAACCAAAAAAGCAAAAAAAAAATCACATACCTAAAGAGCATCACCGAAGAAAGCAAAAGAAGAAAAATGTCCACCGACTATCCAAAATCATCAACTGGAAAAGAGCAGGAAAAGACTGCATGCACAACATGTCACCATTCCACCAACGCTTTCCGATTACCCAAGCAGCTCCATCGACTTCACCACATTTTTTTCCGATCACCTACAGATTGACAGAAAATACCGTCTAGGAATAAGAAAACAGTAAAAACAAAAGCAAGGCGGTAAAAAAAAGACCAAGCCAATAACCACATAAAAAATCAGCCGAAAAAATTACCGATTGCACTGTTCATAAGCTTATTTGGGATTTATTGTATGATAAATTTGGTACGAGTTTAGACTATAAACACAAAAAAATCAATTTATGGACATAAATGATATATATATATATATATATATATATATATATATATATATATATATATATATATATATATATATATATATGTGTGTGAGAGAGATCACATATATAAATATATCAAGTTTAAATGTTCATATCTAAATATTAGTAAATTTATATTTGAATCTAAATAATTCATTTGAAATTTTTTAATATTTCAAAATTTTGATCATACACAATAAATTTATTGAGATTCACATGAGAATAATCAATAATTGTTGTAAAAATTGGATAAAGTGATCATTTTAATGTGTATTAATATAAATCCTAATTAATGAGTTAACATATGAATCCAAACGAGTTGAAACATTTTTTTTTAATAGATACAAAACAGATTAATTCATGTGTGAATCTGAACGAAATGAAACTAAAAAAAATAAAATTAAAAGTAAAAATAAAATAAAAAGAGTTTTTTGTTATAACTTGATACATGTACATCAAACTAATAAATATACATCCATATAATGTGAATTATATATTTCTTTGTTACTTATACACTTCTAAAATAGTTGTATATTTATTTGTTATTTATTTTAATCGTAATAACATTTAATATTCATACCGATGAGATTTTTTATGGTATTATTTGGTTTATACGTGAAGTTCAATAATATATTTCTAATAAAAAAAATTTATGTAAACATTTGCTAAAAGTTAAAAAAAAAAAAACAACAAAAAAACATAATTGTAACATGTCATATAAATCAAAGGGGTAAACTTATAGTAATATTTTAGGGGCAAGTTATTTCATCTAATGGAATACGTATGAAAGTTGTTGGGTCACAGCCCCACTTTTACAAAACAAATAGAAATTCATTTTTACAAGATAAATGGAAATGATCAGCCCCCATCTTGTAAAAAAGCACACGTACACGGTATATTAAATTAAACCCCGCCATGCATTCTTCACGATTCATATCTTCTTGAGTATAAATCAAGCATATACTTCAAGCAAAAAACCAACCCTAAAACAAACTACAATCCATGGCTTCAAAAACCTTAATCTCATTATCATTCTCATTCTCATGCATTTGCATAGCAATGGTAGCCCTAGCAGACGACAGACCAATCTCGACTCCTAACTTTGACCTCTATTTACCGGAAAAGGCGAACATACTAAAATGTCGAGCTGCATATATGACCATGGGAGATTGTTATCTTGAGACCACAACAGCTTATAGAACCGGTCAAGCTCGAATCTTCATGGGGCCAAATTGTTGCAGAGCTGCTCAAGAACTGAATTCATGGTGTTGGCCGAAGTTCTTTGGTCTCAATCCTTTTTATCCTCCAATTCTTGACATTTACTGTTCCAGGTTTAAAGATGGACAACCAAAGATCCCTCCAAGCTGGTGAACCACAAGAAACCGGTCTTAATTAACCGATCGATCATCAGAATATATATTATATTAGTAGTTTGATTAATTATGCCATTAATTAATGTTATGCGTTTTGTGTCACGAATAATGGATATTTATATGGTATTGTGATTTGCTTGAATGGAATCTTGGTGAATTATGTAATCTTTATTAAGATAAATGATTCGAATCATATTTTACCATTTAAACCTAACTAACAACAAAATCCTTTACAAAACCTACCAAAATCACAACAAGAAACAACTATAAAATCATCACCACTTATTTCACACTTCAAACCAAGACTTTAACAAATGCATTCATCTATGGATTCTTTGAGATCATCGCTTCTCATTCTTTCTGTATTTGCAACAATACTTCTAGCCTTATCGCCATCTGGGTTAGCTGATCATGATCAAGAACTTCAAACCTCAGGGTTTGAGCTCGAATCAACACCTTCCCAACCTAGTTTGGGAGATTGTTGGCAATCTGTTGAAGAGATCATTGGTTGTTATTCAGAAATTTATCGAGCTTTTGTGAATGGAAAACTAGGGATGACCATTGGCCCTTCATGTTGTCTAGCGATTGAGGACATAAGTTCCAACTGTTGGCCTCAAATGTTTCCCGGCGCCTCATCATCATTCCCTCCGTTACTAAAAGGCTATTGCAGGCGCTATCAAGCTGGACAACCCGATGCGGAAACCCCTTCCGCCGAACCAGCTGATGACTTTTAAGGCTAGCTTGGGTCAACCTCTATGGCTAATTAAACTAGCCAGATTTGTATTTTAATTTATGGTGTTACTACTATATTACTTGTTTGATTATGATATTTTTCTTTGGAAATGTTGGGAATCTGCTTGTTAGTGTTCGTATTTCATAGTGACGGTTTATTTGCATTATCTAAGTTACTTATTATGATTATATACCGTCGTTATTTTTGTTTAATATATTGTTGAAAAAAATTAAATAAGTATATATTAATATAAAGCTAAAGACGTTTGGCTGTCCATCTTTAAACTAGGAACAATAAATGTCTAAGAATCTGAGGATATCATGCACGAGAAATTAAATATTCTTCTATTTTTTGTTCCTACAAATCCAATTTCACAGTTAATCGTCTGATAACACTTCCAAAATTATACAATGTTGAAGGAAAAGATTTCAATATAATGTGATATCAATCATGCTATTTCTGGTAATCAGTCGTTGTATTGTGGTACGTTATTTCTACTTAGTATTCTCTCTTTGATTTTGTATAAGGGACTCCTTCATTTTAGTCTTTTCTTCATTTGATTATGAGAAAAGTTAAACTATTTCTCCTTAATTTTGCAGGAATGGGTGGAATTGAGCGATTGGACAAAATTATGGGTTATTATACAGTTCTCGGCGTCCAATTTCTTTAATGGAGCTATGGAGTAATTTCACAATCAAACGGTCATAACATCTACTAAGTTTTCCCATTTTCGTTTCGATTCTTGCTTTAGGTTTCTAGGATTTGTTGCAACAGTACACCTCTTCTCACATGTAGTCTTTTTTTCGATCTGTCTCTTTTTTTCAATTTCCTTTTTCTCCATTCGAACCATGAGACGACACCGTTTGAAAATTGAATACAAAGATTTGGTTTCAAGAATCAAAGCATCAAAGGTAAGTGATGTTTTAATAGCTTTAATTTTAATGTGTTTTGTTTAATTTTATCATCTATTTCATAGGAAACGAGAATGAGATTTGTAATAAAATATATTAAATGGAAGAAAAAATAAATTAAGGAATATTTGTTAAAGTTAGGATCTATAATCAAAGAAATACGATTTTTTATGCACTGTTTGGATTTTGATAGGCCTATCAATCTAAGCATGGTGCGTAAAATCATACGTTCTTGTGTTTTCAGTCATGGATCTTGATGTAAATGGCCATATTTGTTTATGTACATCTTTCTTTATATATGCACTCATGTTCCATGCTTAGAGTGAGTACAAGGGAACCACAATCTTTATAGAATCCTTGAATTTTCTATGAAATTTGGTTAAGAGTGATACCAATGGTGTATTTGAAAGGTCAAATTTGTTGCCAAGTGGAGAAGATGAAGTAAATTGCAAAGCAAATGGCTAAAGAGGAGTGAAAAATATAGAACCACACGTGAAACGCTTTATTACACCACAAATCACTCACAAATTTCTCAAATTTAATCTCTTCCAAGTAACTATCTTGCTCTGGTATCTTAAATTTTAGTTATTCATCTAAAACTTTCTAGTTTGCCTTGCCCTATTTACAATTTTTGTTTAAAGTTTTGACATTCAATTTGGATTGTGTTTGGTTAGATAAGGATAATTTAGGATTTATTTGAAATTCAAGTAATTTTGTTTAATTTGTATTTTAGTTAATTTAGATCATTTCACTTGTTTAGATCATTTCATTTGGTTTCAGTTTTCTTTCATTGTTGGTCTTTTGGATTTTGGAATTTATGCGGTCTATCAGACATCAACGCCTGGTAGCTTAACTTTAACATGGCCTTTGGACTTTTTGTCAATGTGCTCATAAAATCATTTTTTTTTTCATTGGTGCTTATCAAATTCGCCTTTTGGTTAACTTGGTTAAAAAGGAAAGTACATTAATATTTATTTTCTTATTTGCTAATTGGAGATTGTAGGTTTTGTAACATGCTTATAAGAAAGAGTGATCTTGGATTGAAATGGGTGTGGGGTATGGAGTCAGATTTTGTTGCAGGCACGAATAAAGTCAATGTTTTAGGAAGACAAAATGCAATTCCAGCAAGTAAAGAAAGACAGTTGTAGCTGAAAGTCATTATTTCATATTATTTTGGTTTTGTTGCATGAATTTGTCTTGGTGGTTGGCCCTCAAGTACATTGTTTTATGGTGATATCCCCTCAAAGTACATTGCCATTATCGGGTTTTTTAGATGTTATGATTTATAATTTATGGGTCATGTTGCTTCTAATAGTTATGTTGTAACGTTATATTTTTTACAACCCAAAATTTTTCATTTTTTATTTAGGTAAAATTTTCCAATTTATAAATCCATAATTAAGAAAACCATTTATTCCAAATTACATTTATTAAAATCAGAGTATAATAGAAAACGCAGAATCCTCAATGCTGCTGATGAGTGTGTACAGTCCCGCCTTCGCCTTCCCATAGACACCGATGATACCTGAAACAATAAACAACTAGAGAAGCATAAAGCTTAGTGAGTTTCCCCCAAAATACCACACATAACCAGACAGTCATCAGACTGGAATGCCCAACTATACCGGGTTTATTGGCCTTACCGCTTCAACCCAACCGCTCATCCCGAGCCTCTGTGCCTATGGCTTACAGTCGGCCCACACCAGGTATCTTGGCCTAAAACACAAAGCAGGACCGCCCAAACCCAAACCAAACACAACATGTCGACATGTAAACAATCATGGATCAAATAGGCACATAATACAGGCAACATCAATCGTACAACTCACTACTGCCTACTAGTCCTCTCACAGCATACAATTCCGCTACCAACTAAACTCCCTGTAATGCGTAACAATAAGTAACCAGAGGTGAGATAGCCAACCGAACAGATGAACCTAATCTAGAGCCACAACCAAACAAGGAACAGAAAAGAAAGCCTAGATCAAGAGTTCTCAAGCTATAATACATGACCACAGATAGTCCCTAAGGGCACTCCATAGATAATAACCAGCAAGCACATATAACATACAGTTCTACATGTTACTACAGCAAGCTATCCTATACCGGGTTTATTGGCCTTACCGCTTTAACCCAACCGCTCATCCCGAGCCTCCGTGCCTATGGCTTACAGTCGGCCCACACCAGGTATCTTGGCCTACAACACAAAGCAGGACCGCCTAAACCCAAACCAAACACAACATGTCGACATGTAAACAATCATGGATCAAATAGGCACATAATACAGGCAACATCAATCGTACAACTCACTACTGCCTACTAGTCCTCTCACAGCATACAATTCCGCTACCAACTAAACTCCATGTAATGCGTAACAATAAGTAACCAGAGGTGAGATAGCCAACCGAACAGATGAACCTAATCTAGAGCCACAACCAAACAAGGAACAGGAAAGAAAGCCTAGATCAAGAGTTCTCAAGCTATCCTACATGACCACAGACAGTCCCTAAGGGTACTCCATAGATAATAACCAGCAAGCACAGATAACATACAGTTCTACATGTTACTACAGCAAGCTATCCTATATCGGGTTTATTGGCCTTACCGCTTCAACCCAACCGCTCATCTCGAGCCTCCGTGCCTATGGCTTACAGTCGGCCCACACCAGGTATCTTGGCCTACAACACAAAGCAGGACCGCCTAAACCAAAACCAAACACAACATGTCGACATGTAAACAATCATGGATCAAATAGGCACATAATACATGCAACATCAATCGTACAACTCACTACTGCCTACTAGTCCTTTCACAGCATACGATTCCGCTACCAACTAAACTCCATGTAATGCGTAACAATAAGTAACCAAAGGTGAGATAGCCAACTAAACAGACGAACCTAATCTAGAGCCACAACCAAACAAGGAACATGAAAGAAAGCCTAGATCAAGAGTTCTCAAGCTATCCTACATGACCACAGACAGTCCCTAAGGGCACTCCATAGATAATAACCAGCAAGCACAGATAACATACAGTTCTACAGGTTACTACAACAAAGCAACATACTCGATACCAGGATAAAGATCTAACGGATAACTACAACATAACAACATACTCGATACCAGGATACAGATGTAACAGATCACTACAGCATATCAGCATACTCGATAGCAGGATACAGATCTAACCGATCACTTCAGCATAACAACATACTAAATATCAACAATCCAAGGAATGCATGGTCGTATATACTCAGAGGTAAGATAGCCACCCGGACAGGTGATCCTACTCTAGAACCACAACCAAACAAAGAACAGGTAAAAGAGCCTAGATCAAGAGTCCTCAGTCTATCCTACATGACTATATACAATCCCTAAGGCATCCATCTACTAACAGATAACCAAAACTAGTGGGCCAACATTGGTGCCTTCGACCCACGGGTACAATGAGGCGAAACTCACCTCGATATGCGCATAGGTACCACCGTAGTAACGAAGAACTCTACCAGCTTCAACTCGCTTCCATCACCTACAGGAAGATACTAGAGTCAATACCCGATCACAGGTCATAGTCACGTGCAACAGTGACTACCTCACATGAAATGAGGATTAGGGTCCTACATAAAATGACGATTAGGGTTAAGTAAGGACACTTACCATTAAGTACTTAACCACCTAAGGGTAGGACTGATTAAGGTTTGACCTCGTCATTCTCGGGTATAATATTAATCCAAGCAATAGCCCAAATACGCGCCCCGATCATTATCCAAAATTGGGCTTCCCGATTCTAGGGTTTCCACATAAAATGATAACTAGGGTTAGTGTTCCACACTTAACCCCTTAAGGAATTAATTCATTAAGTCAAATACTGCATTAAGTTAATCATAGGACAATATTGAGTACACTTAAAGCCCAATTAACATTTCAACGCGGGTCCCGACAAAACTCCAAAACTAGGGTTTTCTTAACATTAGGGTTTTCTAAACCCTAATTAGGGTTTCCAACCCAAACACATGCCACTCAGTCTAAGGTTAGATGCTTAGGTCATTTAGTGTCTAGTAAGTCGAGCACCACCCACTGCCACCTCGGGC